TTCGCTTCGAATTTCGTCCTATTGTTTGCATTAGGTTAAGTTCTGAAATTGGCCAAATTGGCATACGGGCCTATCTATAGTTACTAGAATTTCATATACAAGTAAAGCCGGATAGGCGAATAGTTTAAATCGTATAAAAATCCTCGATAGGACATATGATCAATGCTTGTAGTGAAGATATTCTCCGTTCCTCTCTCTCTCTCTCTCTCTCTCTCTCTCTCTCAAACATACATTACAAACGTTTCAATTCAAATATAAAGATGATAGTTGGTTGTACCGTTAGTTATTAGGAAGTGCCAACCCGATGTTTTACACCGAACATGTCGCTAGTGCTGGCGAACATCAGTTCTTCCAAAAATACATTCCAGTATCAGTATCATAAATTTCAAAATATATTCATAGGATCGAAAGTTATAGACGAAAATTTCTAAAAATTCTCGGTGCTTTTCGGTGCTAATAGTTGGTAGTTGAGGGCGTGTATGTGAAAGCATCACGACCGACTGTTTAAGCGCCTGTTCTTAATGTTTGTGCTAAATTTCATTTTACCCGATGGATTTCGGTAGAACTATACCATACATCTAGGGAGAGCGTGCTGAGCTTGACACCACAAGTCCGTCAAATTCAATTCGGGTTCGGTAAATGTAGCGTCCACGAACTAAAATAGACAATTATGCACAATTACTGCTTTGTGATTTATCCATTTGTCCAGCGTTCGAAAGCTTCGAAGTAAATTGAATTTCTCGTACCCCGATTAAAATCTGAAGCGCGTCAACTTTTTTTATATATAATCGCATGAAAGTGTTTTAAGGAAAAGAAGATTTCTTTATACATAATTTGACTTTTATGCATACTTTTACTTAATTCATAGCATGATACCTGTACTCGTAACGTAACGTAATGAATGCTTGCAGTAAAAAAATTTTTTTTCTTTATAAATAAATCTTCATATTATGGTACATGATTATCTGGACGGACGTACAGAACAATACATGATTTTTTTTTTTTTTTTTTTTTTTTTTTTTTTTTTTTTTTTTTTTTTTGTTTACTATTAAGATGGAGGAGGAGAAGGAGAGGAGGATGACGGATTTTGAAAAAGTACCGGTAAATTCCCATAAAAATTTTTGACTATTGTATTTAATTACTATTTATGTTAGCTATTCGTTATAATAATTCATATAATTTACTTCTAATACGAAATTCTTGGTAATAATAATACGGGTTATTACAGCAACAGGGAAACTACCTACTATCCGTTGTATAGAAAAAAAAAAAAAAAAAAACCGCAAATATATTTAGATATATGCGCGTATATTAGTGTCTACACGTGAAAACGTGCACGTATCTGTTTCCTATAGCAGATTAGAGAATATTTATAAAATTATTTCATATATATCTTAAATTAGTATTTATAGTTTATAATTTAAGATGATATAAATATATATAGAAATTCACGTTGAACTAGAAGCGTCGAACATGTGGCGTCATTTTCATAGTAAGAGAAAAAAAAATAAAAAAAAAAAAAAGAAGAAAACAAAGCCTACAACACAACACACAAATTGTCGATGCCTTTGTTGACATATGAAATAAATATAAGAAATTAATAATTTTTCTTTCAAAAACATGACATTTTCTATATTCACCACCGCAAAGAAGGCACTATTTTACTTAATTTATTGTCATGATGAACTTTTCAAAATAACACTTTTTACATTAGTTTATCGCATTATCATTGATTGACAATCAACTAAAGCTATGACTATGACGAATAGCAGCGACGCTGACAAATAGTAAGGAATTTTTATTATTAATCTTGGAGCGAATCTCGAATATACACACTGTGTATCAAATTAGTTCACTTCGATATCCTTTTGCTGTTGAATATAAAAATTCAAACCCAATCATTTACTCCTTTCGATTATTCGTGTTGTGTTCATAAAAAAAAAATTGATCAGTTTTTGAAACAGTTTCTCTTGTTCATTTTAATGTTCGAATTATCTCTAAACGAACGTTTTCGATAAAGTAGTAGATTTTCCAAGCTTTTAAATATACAACATAGAGGAAGCAATGATGATAAAAATGATGATCATAAACTTAGTGGACAATTAATTAAATAAAGCCAAAGCGTATACGCTAATTTTGCTAATCCGACAAGTCCAGCAGGTCATGCCTGCATCGATCCGAACAAGTGGTGATTAGAAAGCGCTATGTCTGGTAAGTAGGCTGGAGCTGCAGCACAATGTGCTTGACAACTGTTGTAATGTGTGGCCAAGCGTGGCAAGGCAAGCAGATGATTTCGCGTCTGCTAACCGGTATTGCTGCTCTTTTTTTGCAAACAATCCATCGTTTCATTGATCAATTGACGTCGATAGACATCTTCAGTATGAGTTTTATTCGGTCTTAGCAAGTCGTTATACACTGCACTTTGGAATGGGTCTCTTCGACTAATCCATGACTTTTTGCCCTTGCGAGTGCCATAGTAGAATTGCTTTTCATCGGAAAACTCTTGTTTTTTTTTGCCTAGTAAGCAATGACACCGCAATCTTCAAACCGTTTGAAATGGTATTTTCAGTCCATTCATATGGTAGCTAATTTCCCCTACTCTTAGATCTTTCCTACCGCGTGCAAATATCTACAATTATTTGATTCATCAATTGCTAAACTATTCGAAAGTTCTTGAAGCTGGGCCTTCATCCAATAGTCTGTTCGTTGTGTTCGAGCTTTTTAAAATTCTTAATTAATAATTTGCTTGGCAAAAAAGTTAGCTTTGCTGAATTTGAATCACATAGGTTCACGTTTATCGGCATCCCGTCCCATATAAGAGTTCCCGCGAACACATGTTTTCCACTACGGATAATTTTTCTCATTTCATGGCTTTGGTAGGTAAAGAATTTGCAGGTGACATAGTACTGTAAGGTATGTAATAGTCGACCTTGCCTTATTATAATGTTTTAACTCGTTTTAAATTCCGTTTTGTAATCAGTAAAGCACATGTGCTATGCAGCTTTTTTGATATGACGAAATGAAAAGTTGTGGAAGGGTATGTAATACCCTTTTATAATTTCAAATGTGAGTGAGCTGCAAAGAAGTTGGAAAGCGTTTCAGTGTTTTGCAAAGATTCGTTTCGTAATAAATCGTAGGGTGTATCATGATGAACGATTTGTTTATGCGCAAGGGATTATACGCGTTTATGAACGAAAACGACGAAACGACGGCAGATTCCTTAGAAGATTTATCTTCTCTTGCATGAGTATAGAATCAAAATAACTCAATCATTAAACTCTTAGGATCAATTTATAAAATGAAAAAGAAGAAAAAAAGAAAAAACTATTTTTAGGAAACGGAACGGTTCGCCGCTCGCGAACGATTAATGTGATTTATAAACATATGACGTCATTAATTTACGTTTTTCTTCGAATCGCAATCGATTATTAATTCTTAACGTTATCGTTCCATACGTATAAATCATTTGCAGTCGAAATGCATTGAATGTCAAAAAGACTCTGGTTATAAAAGGTTACGCCTAACGTTAAGTTAAAGAAATTCAGTTTACCATGCGATAAATTTATTGATTAAATTTTAAACCGTTACTAATTAGTTAATCATTTTGTAAAATAACTGCTGCCTATGAAACGGCAAAGCATATACACAATCATCTATGCACGACATTCGAAGCGAAGCTGAGGCCGCAAATCAACTTATAGTACATAACGTCATTGTAATATTGATTTTTCATTACGGCGACCGTCTGTACCGTATTATTTGCATGTTTGCAACATACATTTTACACATTAATTACAATAACAACAACAACAAAAAAATAAATAAATCAGTGAAACAAACAGAAATACGTTTATGTGCGCGGGGATGGACAAAATAGTGCGAACAACTGACACATACTACGCGATAATCAATTATTGATAAAGTGTTGGGCGCCACCATTTGCTTGTAGAACAGTTGCAATTTTTCGGGGAAATAGATTCGTAGAGTGGCTATTAAAAAATAATTTTTAGCGGAGTTTTGTGTCATTCTTATAACAAAAAAACATCCGGCAATCGCTTCAGTGATGTTGACGATGATAAGCGTCTGTTCACTATTTTCTCTTAAACTCGCCAAAATATTAATCAAGTGAGTTCCCTTGAGTGCTGCTTCGTTTTGTAAGTGTCACCATTACCAGAGTCGTAGTGTGCTTCCGTCACAGAAGCTCGCACTAATCGATCACCACAACTATTTGCTCGCCTTGGCAGTCTCAAAGATCACATATTTCATTGATCGGTTGGCTAAAAGATAGTCACAGAAACATCATCTTCAAAACTTGACACATAAACTATGCAATATATATATCCGTAGCATTATAAACACGAAAGCGGTACTGCCGATATGCAACGCGATGGTACTATATTGCATAATGTTCATATTGTTTTGTCCATCTTCTGTTTATTTATCTGCGATGCGCCCACGACTGATTACACTCACGCAAAACAATGTTCGTTCTATGGCTGCAAATGGCTGTTAAAATATGCAGAAAGTAAGTTGCAGCCTGCAAGGGATATATTGATCTAAAATCCAATACTATTATTAAGTGTTTTCCTGATATGAGGCCAGTGTAAAAACGATTTTGATCGATCCGTCAATCGACATCTCCCTCTAAATTAACAAAGTTGTTTCTAATAATAATAACATATTGCTTAAGATAACGGATATCGAAGATGTTCGCTCAAAGCGGAATGAAAAAATATTTTATTATATTCGATTTCGAAACGCAATAACGTCTTGGTTTATAAGAGTAGAAACATGTTACGATTGTGTATATCCGTATACGGTTATAGTGTTTTCGATTCAACAAGGGTTAGTCAAAAAAGCTTAAAGTACTCTCTCTTTTCTGAAACTTGATAAATAATTTGTATCTTCACACACACACACACACACACACACATACACACACACACAAAATATTAGAGCCGAGAAGAAACCTAATGTTATCGAAATCTTGTGAAAGGAATGCAATTTCATTTTCCACACCCCCGCGCAAACTCTTCAGAGAAACTTGCCCGACTGGAGTCACATAGGAGTCATCTCACTGTACATATATTGTTGCGAAATATTTATGAAAAGATCATCTTTACTTTGCTGAGCGACGTTAACTATTTATCACAGGATTCTTCCTACATAATGTCGTGTTCAAAATATAAGGGGAAACTTTTCTCCTTTAAGCACAATTGCTTCAAATATCAATGTAAACATTTTTCTTTTTTCTTGTTAGGTTAGGTGCAATTGTCATAAGTCATAAATATTTGACCGAAATTTCATGTCGGCCGGTTTTTTTTATTTAATAAACGAAACCGTTTTTTATAATTCTTAAAAATTATTTTCGACGAATTTCGACAATGAATGATTTTATTGAATAAAGCGTTCATATTAAAAGCTATTCAAAGAATGCAACTGCTTGGGCGAATGCATTAAAGATTTTAAGAGAATGTTACGTTTATGAAACAATGGCACAATCGAAGGTCTACAAGTGATAGAGAAGCATGGGCAGCCCAGCATCTTGTACTGTTGGTGGAAACATCAATATAAAATCAATTATCGATTAGATGCAGTTGTCTCGTTTGCCTTCTTGTTTTTTATTTTTTTTTTACAGACCATTGTGTCTAAGTTGAAGTGGTTGCAGAAGTGTTTGAGCGATGATAATGATCGCACAATAAAGGCAATCAAAGGAATATCATACTACAGCTGAATCGAACGCGTCAAAGCAAATCAACAATCGTCGTATATTGCATTAATTGTTTTCTTCAATTATTGTCATATTATCCATAAAGGAGTTGCATCCACAGGATCAAACAGTTAATGAGGAATGCTACCTATGCGGATGCTCGGTGTTGTTTGCGTGATTGTATTTTATTTCTACTTAACGAGAAAACACCTTTGCATACATCAATTAAATTGTGATACAACTTGTCCCCGTCGAGCCGCCCGTAATCGCATGATATAACTCCCAAAACGTATAACTTTTCTTTACGATTAAAAAGGCCGCCCAACGTTGGTGTTTGGAATGTGCGTATTTTTAAAATAAAATTTCTCCTTCCTCTTTGAATACTTTTTCGTTACATATTTTTCGTACGCTGCAGAGATTGGATTGACAAACGTGATATTTTTTTAAGAAACTCTTAACGTGTGCCCTCAATTACACTTACATATAATAAATGCTGGCAATGTCATAATCAATTTCTTCATTCAGGCTTACTATGGCTTCTCGTTTATTGACGAGTAGTTTATTTAAAGAAACAAGCCATCGCTGGCAGTCCACATCATCTCAACGTCTGATTGTCTTCACGCGACAAGGTGATCATCAAGTTTTTTTCTTCAATAAGTAATTAGTTTTTGGTGTCTGTAAGATATATTGCGTCGTTCGTGCTTAAATACACATGTGTTTCGCATAAAAAAAAATCTTGAAATCATTTCACCCGTATAAGGTTTAACCGTTCACTATGGGCACTCTATACTATATATACTATACTAGCACAATATGAAAATTATCAATGCAATCAATTAGCTTTAGGTTTAGAGGAAATAAAGAGATGAGATGTTTGAAATGATATATATATATATATATATATTTATTTAGAGTATTGATGAAAAGAACAAGAATTTTCTAAAGAAGTATGTGTCTCTCTATTAAAGCCGAAGAACGAACGATATTCTTTGTTCAGTGAATGAATGCTACAATTATTTTTATTCAAATTTTACTCCAGTCATTCCTTTTCTCCTAATTTTCCATCTACTTTCTTTTCCAGCCATATCAACGGTCCGGTGACTAAGCCCTTTAAAAAAGCACACTTTGAGCCAAATCCGAACGTACGCCACAAAAGAGTTATCAACTAAACCATAATTCACTTACGCAAACATACACTACCCACAACTACAATGTAAACGAATTATACTCTAGTTTAAAACCTAAACGTTCATACGTAGGGAAACAATATATATATATATATATATATATATATGTATATATATGTATATTTAGATATATATACACATATATATATATATTTGTATATACATATATATATATATATATATATATATATATATATATATAAGTATATCAAATCCTTCGCACTCCCTTCTCCTCCTTCCTCCCCCTAAATAAATTATTTTTTTTTTTCATAATTATTAATTAATTTTTGTTCTTTAGTTTTTAATTTGAAGGTCAATTATTTAATAATTAACACATACTTACGCATATACGTAGTAAACATTATGTAGAAACATTACTAAATGAAAGGAAAGAAAGAAAGAAAGCAAAAAGAAAAAAAAAAGAAGAAACCAAGTCGCGAAAAACCATAAGCTATATATTCACGTTAGTTATTGCAGATCATCTCAATGTGAGGCAATTCTTAAATTTATGGCTAGTTTCAATTGTTTGTTATTTGTAAACAATTTTAATTAATATTATGTGTTATCTCTTCGTGTGTGTTTGTATGTATGTATATTGTTAATGCTTAGCCAGCAATCGCATCAATAGTGTATGTAGTATAATATATAAATATTTTACTAAAATTTGTACATTTCGAAAAAAAAAAAAAAAAAAAAAACAGTTATTTTCAAGCAAATCCAATCGATTCGTTTTCTCATTCCAAATTAAAAGTTTTCTCTAATAAAACAACTTCTGCATTTTCTTAAAAAAAAAAAAGAAAAAAAAAGAAAAAAAAAAAAAAATCCAAACAAGTAAAAAATGTACAAATCGTTTGTTGTCATTACTAATGTAATTTCTTGAAAACTTGAACGAAATGCTGTCAACATTCCGTTTATCAAATTTAAATTGAAAAAAAAAAAAAACTTTAATCAATAATAACCATAAAAATAATAATAACAATAATTAATAATTAATTCATAATAATAATAATAATAATCATAATAATCATAATAATAATAATAATAATAACAATAATATTGAAAACAACATGACGCATGCTATTAAAGAAATTGAAACTACTGATAGACAGGAGAAGGAACTGGAAGATTATAAACAAGAACAAGAACACGAAGAAACGAATAACAATAACAATAACAATAAAGAAAATGATCAAAGAAATAACGATGATCTTGATCAAATAAAATCTAATACATCACAATCATCGATATACACGCACAAAGATATCAGCGCAGGTGTTAATTGTAGTATTAACGATCCAATTGGAAGCACACACAGCAGCAATAGCAATAATAATAGTACAATTAGAAGACCATTAGATGTTTATGCATTAGATATACACGAACCTCCTCATCAGAAATCATCATCAACAGCATCATTTTCACCTGCCATCAATCAGATCATACATCATCATACGACACCACATGCGTACACCAGCAGCAATGGCGTTCCACACGGATACTATCGCAATACTTTACCGCCACTGCCACCAAATAATCATACACAACAACAACAACAACAACAACAACAACAAAATCAACTACAACAACAAGAGCAACAACAGACGCAAGATGACCATTTTAAATTGTTCATCATATTTGGAAATGGTGAGTCTGACACTATTTTGACTAGCGCGGAATAAAATGAAAACGAATTAAAAAAAAAAAAACATATTCTCTCGTTTGAACTTCATTTCCCAAATGTACAAATAAATTTTCTCTGCTATTTACTTCTTATATAATATACACTCATCATCATAGCAAATACATAGCAAGCAAGCAAGCAAGCAAGCAAGTAGGCAAGCAAGCGAGCAAGCACTGCTTTCCTTCATGCTAAACGGCATCTCTCATCATCATATTCTTTGCAACTTTTATATAAAAAAAAAAAAAATGTATTCTCTTAATGTTTTGTGTATTTTTGTGTATCGCTTTTCCAATTCAATTTATTTATATATACTTGCACCGAACATATTTTTTGCTTTTGAATATTATTTGCTAACTAACTAATTTTCTACGACAATACAATTATCCACGCATTCCAATTCTCAATTAGCTTTGCAAAAAAAAAAAAAAAAAAAAACCCTATAAAACAACTTGGTTTTCTTGTCTTTTGATATCAAACAATTCAATATGACGCACAAAGATGCGCGCTTTGATCTGTGTAAAGAACTTTGAGGGACAGTGGCTTAAAATCTCTTATTAAAAAGTCTTAGTTAAGCATAGTTTTGCAAATGCATAGAAAATCTATTCGAAATGCTTTTTAGTCTTCAATGCTTTGAAGCTAAAAACTCAAGATTTTGTTATAATAAGAGAGAGGTTTTGAGAGATAACGCATCGCTGTAATGTTCTAAGAAAGGGTATTTTTTAATTCATTCCTTGTTTTCTTTTTCTGTTTTTTTTTTTTTACCTTGAAGGAATTTCTTAAAAGGGATTCTCGCCTTCTCTCACGTATCTTTAATTCAAGGTGCTCTGTTGCACACGCGATGTAACTGCGGAAAATGTGAATTTGCAAACAAAATAATAATAATAATAATAATAATAATAACTTTAAGGTACATGGAAAGTGTTTTGAAAACTCTCGATACCCTCGAGCATCGGCGTAATGTAGGGTGTTGTATGGTGCTTATGTATACGTACACGCACAACAAGTGTTCTACGGAGAGAATGAATTTGTGGTTTACCAGAACACCAAGGCTTTCTCAGTGTTCTCACAAGCTCGTTCTGGAATTGCCTGCGTATCGTGTGCGAATCGTCGTTCTATTAATCACACTCTCCGGCGCCCAGAATAATCTATTAGCGGTGGTATTGCCATTCTTAAGTGAAACGTAGAAAGACACTATCACTTACACTTTCCATTCCTCTCTATCTATAATCCCTCCTGACCATAACCGTGCTCGCGCGTATAGGGAATATCCTCTGAATGAATGGTCGTACACCCAAAAAAAAAATTTGTTACTTATCGCAATCCAAATATTGCAAAAGAACTCGAATGAACAGAACGGATTTTGCTAAGTTATTTAGAGTTTCCAAATACGTTATAGACATCTTTAAATATTCTTTCTCATTGCCCTTTCCTTGAAGATATCATGTGAAAAGTTTGCCATCTGTATTCCTCACCTGTCAATTAAGGAAACACCCGTGAACACTTTAAGTGTAACGAAATAGCAAAAAAAGAGGAAACAAGGATATTTATAACTCTATACAGACAGAGTAATAAGTAAAGGCAATGACCGTGGCAATGACACCTTTCGCATCATGCTTGCTGCTCTCGATAAAGTTACGCTAAAGTATTTGCTTTTACTTGGAACAATACTTTCGAGATATATTCGTTATTGTGTATACGATAAATTCGGACGCAACTAATCAGTAAGAATTCCTTCGTGCCATAGAGATAGGCTTTTCACCAATAGCGCCGGATACATCAAGGGGAAAATTTCACTCTCCATATTGCACTTGGTTAAAATTTAAAAAAAAAAAAAAAAATTTCTAAATTGTTAAATTGTTAAAAAAAAAAACCAATTTTTTTTTAATTTTTCTGATAAGAAATTATTTAAAAGTTTCGTTGTATGTAATATGCTACGAATTGAAGCGATTATGTAGAAAATCTACGCACTGGTCAGAAGTTTACTGTGAAGTGCGTTTAGCAAAAAAAAAAAAAAAAAAAAAAAAAAAAAAAAAAAAAAAAAAAAAAAATTTCCTATCAGTTACGGTTCTGCGATGCTTAAAAATGAAGGAGCAAAGCAAAGAAAATTTATGAAATTTTATCTAATTATCTATAAGATATATGCAAATAAAGATCAATTTTTATATTATCATGGTTTGTAGTTGTGAAAATAATGTGGATTGCAATCAAAAAAAGAAAATCTGAATCAATTTTCTTGATTAAGTAAGACACATAAACATACACTTATATATATATATATATATATATATATCGGTTGCTATTGAATTGTAAAAAGGAAAACAAAGCGACCCTATTATCTACTTAGAAAGGCAATCTATATTAAGTATAGGTCGAGATCTAGATTAAGTGTGAGTTTCCACCAAAAACATGGACACACTTTCATATCATTATCTCATCTTTGTCATAATGTGAACACATTTATATCTAAATATCTTTTATGTTATGCTTCATATTGCGTTATCCGGATAATACGGCAACCGTTAAGGGTTTGGTTCGTCGCTGCAGTTTTATTGAAACTTATTTACTACAAACACTACTTGAAATGTAAAATTGTGCAAAAGAAAATTCGCTGACTAAGTAAATGGTGATGGGTATCGCCTACAAGCGCATGCAACCGGCGTCTATATATGTGATTCATTTCCTTACTAATCATAATATGTTCATCAAATCTTTACCTTATTATTTATTTCATTCTTTTTCGGAACAAAAACAAATACATTTCGCTGAATATCGCTGGCTATCTAATTTATCTTTGTTATAGGTTTATGCGGATGTATGCAACATCCAGAAGGACTTGAAATAGATTGGCCGATACACTCCGAATCACTTTCTAAATCGATTTAAGCTTATCTGCTCGGATGTCCGTCGGCTTGTCTTGTTTGTCTTCTTCGCTTATGTTTAACCTAATTAACTTAGCCTTAATGAGGCATTATATATAATAAGGCCTTACCTTGAAAACTCATTACATGAATAACTGATAAATTGGCGTAGGATATTTAATAATGGACTGTGGCCCAGCTTAGTGTATTTACTTGTTTTAAATGCAAACGTATCTACGCGTGTTGGAAATTCTTCTTTAAGCCAAACAATTGTCAATGCGTTTGCGTACTTTTTTTTTTTTTTTTTTAATATTCGGGAATTTTGAATTGTTTTTGGTCACTTGTAGAACGGTAATCAACCATCGAATCAGATTGGTGAACATAATCCACTTAACGAGATGAAATCTAAAAATTATACTATATATGGATATCACTCTGACTCTAGATAATTATTAAATTAATTAACTAGAAGAGTTAACTCAGGTTTAAAAAGGTGTAAACACTTTAAACACTTTGTTTTATCTACTCGAATATGTACATAAAAGTGCACGCATGCCGAAGTAACTTTCATTAAAATTTGTAAAAATTACAAAATACTTTACTTATTTATCCGTTGCAAATATTATATAGACATATGTATGAAGGTGTGTATCTATATGTTTTCATTTTTAATCTTTTTATTTATACACAAATATTCAAGATACCGACAATGAAAAATTGTCCGGTCTACCACATTCGACAACCGGTTCATTAAGCTCTATCATCACGACGTCCATAGCATCCTCAGAACCAGATCCAGGCTCGGGCGGCAGTGGCGGCGGTGGTATCGGTGGTGGCCGTGGTGGTACAGATGCTTCCAATATTGCAGGCGTACCGGGCAATGTAGATGAAAAGTTAGCCCTAAATCGGCCAGGCCTCAAGCAAGAGAAATGGACAGCGATTCTACTACAAGTTTCTATTCCATTCTTTTTAGCAGGCATTGGTACAATCGGTGCTGGCATCATTTTAGGCCGAGTCGAAGTAAGTATCTACATATAAAATTAATTAATTAAATTACCACGTGTACAATACAACTAAAGTGATTGCTCATTGAGGAGTTACTTACACCCTTGGAATTCCACTTATGCCATTCAAAAGACACTGCAGCATAATTATGAAATATGTGCAATATTTTCTTGCATACACCGAAGATTTTGTTTTATTTTTTATTTATTTATTTTTTTTTTTTTTTTGATTTATCAAAAATTTATCAAACACGAAGAGGTATTTACATTACGAAGTACATACTTATCCGTGATAAGCTTAAATAGCATTCGGATGCTTTGTAAAGAAATTTGTTCGCAAATAATTTCTTATTACTTCACGATTTCTTGATTATATTAAGAAATCGTTTAAAGAGTTTATCGGAACTATTTCTGAATTTGCGGTTAATTTTTTTTCGTTTTCGAAAATCGTTGTTAGCATTGAAAATATAAACTTTTTCTTTCACATTAAAAATACGTAAACTAATTGAACTTTGCTCAGCGGTAAGACCCGGATTCGAGCCCAGGTCCAGTAAACCATAAATAGTGCTTTACTCTGGGCATGGCATGGCACACATAATGCCGATAGATATTCTCTTAAAATATCGTCACAAATTTCAGCTTTCAGTTAAGAGAGACTACCTGCTGACTGCTGACGGAAGAACAATTGCGTTCGACATGACAGTTGTTCGTTTATGTGTGTATACATATGCGTATATTTATTATAGAAATCATGAATCAAAAGGGGCTAAGAAAAATGAAAATTTCCGCTAATGGCCAGAATCGATCAGACGATCATACCGACATAGTTAAATGCATTCCAAATTTTCAACGGGCGATATACTTTATGGGGGTTTTGAAGTCTGTTTCGGCGAATTATGAAAATATTGTAAAAAACAATCAATTTTAATAGACTATAATGTTAGGTAGGACTGGGCAATTTCTTCCATTTTTGCAGAGGACAGCATCGCCCATAGAATATACGCTCAAATTTTTTTAGATATATTTGCTGCAGTTTATAAGGGATGAGCAAAAAACCTATTTTTTATTCCTTATGAGAAACAGAGGTGTTTTCAATTTATATGGTACAGTGTGGTGTCCTTCAATCGGTTTGGCCCATTTTCGGTACGAAACTGCGTGCAAAATTTTCCAATGTTTCTGCTAAATTTGAAGTTGATAGCTACTTGTTTGCGGTGAAGAGACCACATCAGACATTCTACAGACGGACAGACAGCCAGATGAACAAACGGACATGCTTAAGTCGATTCAAAATTTAATGCTGATCAAGAATATATTACACGCTATGGGGTCTCTGAAGTTGCCTACTGAACGTTGCAAACGTTTTGATAAAACCGATATACCGCTTATCGTTCGTTGCTGGGTATATAAAAAAATAAAATATAGCAAACAAAAAAAAAAAAAAAAAAAATCTCTTAATGGGTTAAAGCTGACTTCAAGAGTGGCTCGTGCAAATAAAATGGTTTCAGTCTTTCGCACATACGCATATACACATACATATACACGGTAATGACTCTTTTTACTTGTTATTGTTCATTAAGGCGTGTTATCATAAAAAAAAATGTAAATAAATAAATTATATTGGCCCTAAAAAACGACTCTTAGAATCTAATTAGTTTTATTCTTTTTTTATTATTATTAAAGATTCTTGACAGGCAATGAAAAAAATTTTCACGATGTGTCTGTATGTGACTGTCAGACAATTATTCCATATATATATATGTATACATATAGTTATCTGCAATCCCCCTATGCTTGCTGGCGTTTTGAGCATTGGATATATCTAATATATCACCTGATGTGGCATACATAAGAAACTTGCATCTGAAAATTCTATAACCGTAACCTTTATCTTAAAATAGAAAATACAAATTGTTGTTGTTGTTTAGCCCATGAGTAATAAGTAGTGAAGATCCAATGTTTTCACCTTTGAAACCGATCATGGCCTTTGACCGATATGGCGATCAAATTTCAATGCGAAATTGAAACTGTTTGCAAGAAGTCGCAGTATCCTTACCAAATTTGAAGACGATAGCTCCATTTGACAGCGCGACAGACGGACAGCATTAAATCAATTGAGAATTTGACGCTTTTTAAGAATGTATAGATGTATAGATGTAGATCTTTGGCACTTGTTTTCCAATTCCCTCGCATTACGGTGATGGATTTTATAAATGTGAAAACGTGATAACTAACTGTTCTTGTCTCTCTACAAGAACAAATATTAATTATTTGAAATAATAAAAACGAAACGCAATAAAAATTTTAATTAAAAAGCACCTAAGGGATGTACTTGAATAAATCATTTAATTGAAAAACGTTTGAGGGAAATATTATAGAAATTTAATTTAATTAATTTAATTAATTTGATTTGCTTACTTTTTTTCCAATTTTAGATAATAAGACATTTCAATACTCGACTTTTAATTTTTAATTTAAGAACAACAATTGTTTTTACTTTACTTACACACACCCTTCAACTCGATAAAATATGCTTCGTAAGCATTTAATTTAATGAAATTAAGACACTACGCAATAGACCAACATTTGAATACGTATTAAATTTTTAGGAAAATGATAAGGCGAGCCAGGAAGTCGTTGACAAAGAATCGAAAAGATATTAGTGGCGCACGTTATTGATAGAAGCGAAGCAAACCACAAAGCATAGCATAGCACTCAAAAAGTTCATAGCATGACATATAAATGTCGTCACTATTGACAAATCCATATGACTTTCAGATAGTACCAATATGCAAAAGGCTCTCGGCAACATTCTAAACTCTGTTCGTTTTCGAAACAACTTCTTTGCATTTTTCGTCTGTCTTTCGAGGAAAGAATTTTTGTGTTACACAAAACGAAGCGCAGCTGAACTAATAATGACGCTTTACGATATGAAATTTTGCATCTGTTTAGAATAAAAATAATTATTAATGATATTCGTGATGTTGATTGGTCTTTCAAGTTCTTGATGCCTCGATTATATGAGTTTTTTTTTTGATATCCTGTGCTGCTGTCAAATATTTTAGTTAACTTATATGATATGAATTTTCTGTCTGCCTTTTAGCCAACCACAATATATATATATATATATATGTACATTTTATAGAAGGAAAGAAAGATTTGTGCGCGTAAAAAGTGACAGTTTTTTTTTTTTAATTGCACTAACTCGACCGCGTTAGCAGTGTTTATAGGTATAACTAAATGGAAATTCTCTGATATGGGTAAACGGCTTCGATTGCGTATTGAAATTTTTCACACAAACATATCCATGTCGACGTCTGTACTTACTTTACAACGTGTACTTCCTGTCCTTTATTTTGTATATATATATATATATATATATATATATATATATATATATTTATATATATTCTGCATATTTGTATTTTACTATTTTATTATATTTAACGATTTCTTTTCTTTTTTTTTTTTTCCATTACCTTTGCGACGTATACTAATTATAGAAATGGCGAGTGTTTAATGTAATTACTGAACTTTTTATACTGGTGCCAGCATTACTAGGCTTGAAAGGCAATTTGGACATGTGTTTAGCCTCGCGTTTATCTACTCAGGTGAATTTGGGTAACATGTGCTCGCGGAAGGAAGTGATTGGCATGATTGTTGGCAATGTAGCGTTAGTGCAAGTGCAGGCAACCGTGGCGTCATTTTTAGTCTCATTATTTGCAATTTCGGTTGGCGCGATTATGAATGGTCCCCTTAGATTGGAGCACGTCATGCTGCTGACATCGTCGGCCATGTTTACTGCAACCTCGTCATGCTTCGTTTTAGGTTTGACACAATTTATCAAATTTAACTAAAGAGAATTATTTAAAGGCAAATTTCTCTCCTTTTCATAGATTTTGTGTTAGTGGCTGTGATATTATTATCTCAAAAGTACCGTTTAAATCCTGATAATATGGCGACACCGTTGGCTGCATCAATCGGCGACGTCGTTTCCATAAGTCTGCTGTCCTTCATAGCTTCAATACTATTTGATCACATTAGTAAGTGAATTGAAAATCAAAGACCACTCACTCACTGTATGCTATAAATTCATTATAATAAATTGAACAAAAAATTTGAATTATTTATATATAGAGATACATGGATTATGGGTAACATACGTCGTTTTAGCTTGTTATATGTTTCTATTGCCTCTATGGATAATTGTTGTATTGAAAAATAAATATACACGACCGATATTGAAGACCGGTTGGGTGCCAGTCCTCTCAGCTTTATGCATTAGTGGGTGCGCATTACTATCGCAATTATTTGAGTCGATAAATGTATTAAAGTTGATATTCTTTTTCATAGGCTCGGTGGTTTAGTGCTTGATGCCGCCGTAGAGATCTTTAATGGCTTTGTGGTTTTTCAGCCCATTATCAATGGCATCGGAGGTAATTTGGTATCGGTGCAAGCCAGCAAGATATCAACGATGTTGCATCAAACCTCGATTATTGGTATTATACCACCGCATACCAAAATTTTCGAGTACCCTTGGAGAGCTCTATTTAAAGGAGGTAAATTCATCAATTCTATCTTTTTTTTTGTTTTTTAAATTTTTTGAATTTTTTGTTTCTTTTTTTTTTTTTTATAACAGTGCCTTACGCTAATACGGCGCGTATTCTGATTGGTATGTCAATTCCAGGAAATATAATTTTTATATTCGTCGCCGATTACATACATATAGGTCAAACATCAATTACGTTAGCCTTTGTTCTTACGTACGTTGCGGCAAGCTTATTACAGGTAAGTAAAATAAAAGTCAAAGGTAAAAAATATTTCTTGTTTTTAACTCTTTCTTTTTCTTCTTCTTCTTTTTCATCTTCTTCTTCGTATATGTATATAACAGATAATGCTACTGCTATACATCGCTCATATAATAGTACATGCGATGTGGAAATGGAAAATAGATCCGGATAATTCTTCAATACCGTATTTAACTGCCTTAGGTGATTTACTAGGTTCAAGTTTTCTCGCATTGGCTTTTCTATTCCTCTTGTCCATAAACAGAGAATACGGAGCAGATCTTTTAAATGCGGCCAACTAATCGGCACAGGTTAGTCAGTTAGCCTTATATGTATTGGCGAGATTGATTGATACAAATCGTCGATTCCAATCTAATATATTTTTATACTTTTTCAATTATATCGTTTAAAGGTATGAAACGGTAATAAGACAAAGATTTGTGTGCGCCTTACGACATAGAATATATATATTACAGTGGGAAGCAAGAAAATGCACTATGGATGCTTTTCCTTATTTGCCATAACCAGTATCCCGTATCTCCATCATCCTCTTCAAATTAAATTATTATTCAAACGGATGTAGATTTAGTTCAAGAAAAAAGAAATTGTAGTAAAAATTGATATCAATTTGAAATTGTATGAACGAAAGATAGAGACAGACATTTATAAAAGAAGAAAAGCGAAAGTAATAAATTAAACAAAACAAAGTCGCATTAATAATTAATTATGAGTAGTATATATATATATATATATATATATATATATATATATCTACATGCTAAAAATATATCTAATAGGGAATATGTATGTATCTCTCTCTCTCTCTCTCTCTCTTTCTCTCACTCTCTCTAAATTGTAGGCGAAATTGTTTTAACTAATTAATTTTGCAATTTTCCCATTTTATATTATTCAAATTTCATTAACGGCTATTATGCGGTTCATGTTGCTTTAAAATTAAACAAGATTTACAGAAAAGAAAGACACCGTCAATATTTCAATAATTATAAAGTTTCTGTGGTTTAAAATAGTTCTCTGCTTCGATTATAAATACAATTTCGTTTTGCTATTCTTTCTTTATGTTATCTATGCGTATGTATGTTATGTTATGATATGTTGAAAAAATTAGTTTCTATGCTTTTTTTAATATGAATTTGCCGAGATCGTATTATGTCTCTCTCTCTTTCTTTTACAGTTTTGAACATGAAAAATCGCTATATATATATATATATATATATATATATATATATATATCTGTGTAACGATGAAAAAAAAATATATAAACTTCTTGAGCTAGCTGTGTATTTAATTAATAGAGTTCAACCAGTCTTTGTTCGAAGACTTTGTTTGTTTATTTACGTTACAATTTCATAAAATAAAATATTTTTTTTTTTTTTTTTTTTTTTAGTTTTGCCTGTTGATATTTTAAAGATATTTTTAATTCTAAATTTTAGCAAATATTTTAATTGAATTTAGCATAACTTATAATTTATTTAATAATTTTATCATTATCATATAAACATCTCAGATTTTTCGTTAATTAATCTTAGTTAGAACTAATTTACTTAAAATTATATATCTTTTACCACAAACCCAGATGTAATTTATATAATTGTGATCAACGGTATAAAATGATAAATAATATGTAAATTCAATGTAAATAAAGTTCATTAAACTTTCCTTTTTTTAGAAATAAGAAATCTATTGGTAATATATACATATCTCGACGAAATTTTTTTTTTGCGTACAAAAAACCTTTGTACATCTTGACATGACTTTTGCAGGAAAAATGATTGGGTTTCTTATACTCTCAGGCCATGGCGAGCGTTTTACGAATATAGGCAGAGCGTTGCAAAAAAAGTTACCGCAGTTAAAGGTACACGTCACAATGAACCATCATCACCGTACGCATCTCAGGAACTTTAGTTCGAAGCAGTATATCAATTCAATCAAATGGTGCGTCCATTTCTAAGCGCACTACTATTAATTTGGCTTGATGTAACGACTTCATTCCCAGATGATGTTAAGAATCACAATTTGGTTTTTTATACACCACACCATTTGTGTTGTGTACTGAGCTGGTGCAATGGATGTATGCAACGTTTAGAAGGACTTATGAGGATGCGAATTTTTTCCTCTTGTTTAGGAAAAATTCTTATCCATATTAATAATGCTGGATGCTAACGGATGACGACAGGTTTTATATCGAGCGTCAGATCACTCCGGAAGGAGGAAGTCACCTTCTTCTTCTCTATACTTTTGTTCGTTTGTTGCATCGTTTGTTGTTCTTCCCACCAGAATACCAAACTGTTTGCTATAAAAGAAAATGAATGGAAGGTGAAATATATTTTTCATAAGAATAACGTGTACAACTACAATTTGAAGTAAACTCACCTTCAGAATCACTTTCTGAATTGATTGAAACTTGTCTGTCTGTCTGTCTGTCCCGCTAGCTGACTTGTTTTCTTGTGTTCAATCTACAGGTCGCAGTTTCTCTAAATATTTTGATGAAATTTGGCACACCGATGTGTTTTGGTCCAAGGACGAACGCTATTAGAAATAATTTAAATAGGGGATCCTTTTTCAACCACTTTCCATATAAAGACTTATTTTGAAAAGTCGTTATATGAACAACTGTATTAAACGTGTAGGGTGCAGGGTATATATATATAAAGGTACGCCGCATCCCATTCATTGTTTTCAGCTGCATATATTCAGTTATGCAGTTATATACTACAATTAATTTTGAACCGATTTTTTGTGACAAACGGTTTAAATGCTACCATTCAGAGTTTTCTGGGAATCGTTTCACATGTATATGCAAATGTGAGTCTAATATATTCATTACTTTTGGCAAACACGTAACTACAAAAGTAACATTTTAATATATAGTTGACAATATATGTTTATATGTATATATGTGTGTGTACATATTGATGTTCAATTTCAGTAAACATATTAAGGTGTTAATAAAATTGAAATGCTCAGCCTTAAGCTGATCGAAGTTATCTAAATATTTAATGGTCACTTAGTAGTAAGACGACATTTTCCCTTAGGATATCTTTAGCATACAATGTGCGTTCGAAATGTAATAGTACTCTCAATACATATTTGAGATGAGGTGTCGGTTTATCGCTTTCAATATCAATTGAAATCGATGATAACTCCTAAATATAACGTTTTTATGGCTTTCGATATTGAACGCTATGAAAATCACATACATATTTAATGCAGTTAATAAACATAAAAATTAACTAATCCCGTTAACGGTATTATTATTATTATTATTATTATTATTAATTTAGCCTTAAAGCCCTAGGGATGAAGGCTATCCGCTTTAATGCTAACCTTGCTAACGACAAAAATTTAACAAGTAAGGTAATTACATTCGGTAGTGACCGAGTCTTTTATAATCGTCACCGCTATTCTAAGAAGAGATTAAAAAATAGAAAAAGAATTACATTTTCATACCCTATTATATTAGATGGGCGCGGCTCAGTTTTGACATTTCCATTTTCAGAATAAGATTGGAAATTTATATGATGCATGTGCTGTGCTTTATAAGAGACAAGCAAAAAACACCAAAAAACGCAGGCATAGGCTTGTAAACGTTCTTGTCGTGTCTTTTGATCGGTTCAAGTAATTTTCAAGTTCTTTTGCAAATTCGTAGGCGAATGTTCATTCCTAATTTGAAACTGGCCAGGTGTTTATGGACTCTACGGGGTTCTTCAAGATTGCTTCTACGCTTTATAAAGGCACTGAAAAAAATATTTTATAAATTTATGAATAATGAGCAAAGAACAAACTTTTCATTTTTTTGAGAAAACAGAGATTCTCTCTCAGGTTGCGTAGTAAAGTGAATGAAGTGATTAAAACGAATGCGTACATCAAAGTGAACTGTTGAACTTCTTATAAGCACTAATGTTCGTACGTTGTCTAATTTTCAACAGATTATTGCACATATATTGTAAGTAGTGCACACAATAAGAAGTCATGTTACCATATCATCTGATAAGAAAATTTTAGAAAATTAATGTAATCTTATGTAATTAACGTATACAATGATAAATGAATGTAAAAGCAAATAGTCTTTTTGATTGATTAGCGCAATAAAGGATTAAGAGAAGAAGAAGCGGGAAGCGGACTTCAATGACGCAGCTACACAAAGCGAAAGAATTCATTATACTTTTAGATTTGACAAATTACATATTAAAGCGAAAACTAAAGGTCTTTATAGCTTGCTCTTCATTTCTTATAAGCTAAGAGAGAGTTATAAAACAAAATTTCAAGCCATATAATATGAAAAAAATAAACGCAAATTAGATAAATAACTTTCAAATTTGAAAAGCGCTGTTAATCTTCGCCATGTCTTCATAACGCTCATCCTCTCCCAGTCATGGGATTATACGCGCCGTGTTATTGTGTGTGTCAATCTCCTATAATTACAATATTTGCTTGAAATATTGAAAGTTCATTTTGTAAGACTCCTAAACAAATAGAAGAGGACGTCTATGCGCATACCTTTTCACAGAAACTATCTTGGAACGATTTCCTTATAGAAACCGGCAACTTTTCGTCAGTCTTCGATTTTTGTTTACTTGCTCTGCTCCGTATTGAGAATTGTGCGAACCTTGAAACTTAAGGCTGCCTAGTTATAAGTGGTGGTAAAGACGTTGCTTAGAAGAATTAACATTAATCTCAATATATTCGGAACCACGTGGTAAAAATGAAAATAATTTCTCTAACTGTGAACTGCGTTTTGTTTTCTACTAACAGTCAGCAAACGTGTTAAACGAAATTAATTGTTTCGCTTTCTAAGCGTTCCCTTTCTAAAATTTATTCATAGTCACCCTGTCACAAAATGTAAATATTTCTAGTTGGGCGACTTTTGCCGACGGCGTTGCAATTAACATAGAGCATTACGTTCTCTCTGTAATTAGCATAGAGTATTACGTTCCCTCTGTAAATTAGCATAAAATTTAGCTACTGTTTTTAATCAAAACAAAACAGTAATACACACTATTATAACATTGCCACCATAAGATATTCTGCTAAAACTCAATATAATTTTTTTGCTTTTCTCCAATTAAAAAATTTTACTTCTGGCAACCCTCTGCTTTCTTAACATATGTCAAACGTGTCGCGAATCTCTTCTTTTTTTTTTTGAGTAATCGTCGTATTTTATCGTAGGTCGCCGCGTTGTGTATTTTTTTGCAGTGGAGTTTTTTAGTAGAAAAACATTTTCCTTTCTTAAATCGGGAGTTCTGAATTAAAAATAGAAACCTGCTTATACCGTTCTATTTCAAAAACATAATCTCGAAAATTGTAAATACACTCTTTCCGTATAGAATTTTTGTTGTTGCATAGGAATGAGTGAAACGCGTGAACAAATTTTGGAGGAAATTAAAATACAAGGTGATCTGGTTCGAAAATTAAAAGCAACCAAGGAACCCAAAGAAAAGGCAAGTAAATGTGGGAAATAAAAATATGCTCCAGCTTTGATAAAAAAAAAAAACTATTAGCCAATTTGGGTATTTCATATATGGAAGGGTATGCTGGGGAGTCTAAAAAATAACTAACCATTATAATTCATGAAATATATCCGTGCTTGTATATAATCATAATACATGAAATATGAAATTCGTAAATAAAATTTCATCATCCATGTAGATTTTAAGGTTTGCGAAAAGTTCATTTCACTTTTATTTATAACTTTGATTAGGCTTTCGATGTGTGTGATTCATTGTAGTATAAAGCAGTTAAAATATTTACATTCGTTATGTACTATATAAATTGCTTTGTCTTTTTTCATAAGCTCAGATATTTTTATGTATGCATTGAAAACTAATTGATTTTTGGCATTTGTTATGATAGTAATCTATTTAGTAGTAGTATCTTAAGTGCTTGAAGAAAAGAACTACGATTTGCCTTACTAACCCAACTACAAAACATAATTCCTTTTAACAATATGTGAGTAAATATTAAGTTGAGAACTGGCTTATTATAATTAGAAAAGACTTGTATCAAATTTTTGCGTGGAGGTCGCGGAAGTCAATCATTCAGTAAGCAGCAGCTTTCATATATGTATTTCTTCTTTCTGATAATAGGAAATTCTTCGTTATTTACTGTTGTAACAAGTTAGTAAAACAGCTGTTTGTAAAATTAAATTCATTTCTTTTATTTCCTTATGAACATTGCTTAAATAACTACTAACTTACGTTTCCATTCGGTTGTCCCTAGTTATTCAGGTGTTTTTTTTCTTTTTTTTTTTTTTTGGTTTTTATTAACTTCGTTTGGTTTGGAGGTTATGACAGATAGGGATGTTGAGATTTGAAGTATATTGATTTTTATACCCATCACCGAAGGATGAGGGGCATATTCATTTTATTAAAACGTTTGTTACGTTCCGAAGTACGCTTCGGAGACCCCACAAAGAATACATATACATTCTTGATGAGCATCAAATGCTGAATCCGTCTATATAATGTCTGTTGTAAGCATTCCCATGTATGCAAATGAGAAGCTAAGGAAATGAGACGAGGACACGCCCACGCCCAGTACTATGTAAAGTGAAGGCAAGACTGTTTTTCAATAGGAATAAAAAGTTGGTTTTTGCCAATTACTGATAAATTACAGCAGATAAATCTACAAATATTTGAATGAATATTTTATGGTCGATGTTGTAGTAGCATTGGCTACGCCTACCTAATATTATAATATATTAATATTTAATTTTTTTTTCAATACTTTTGTAACGCGCAGAAGCCAGCTCCAAAAATTCCATAAAGTGTATAAATTCTTGGCCAATCTCAAATTCGGAATGCACTTAATCATGTCCGCCCGCTCAATTGTCCATCTTTCCGCCTGTGCAACTGTATATTATCTGTGGTAAACATTTTAAGATATTCCCTACAAAGTTGCAAGAGAATTGGAGACGGACCCAAACTTTTCAAAGGACGCGTCTATAACACGCGAACACGGCTATGTAACAAAAACTGTGAACACTTTTCCTTTTCGTGTTTCTTGCTCGTTGCCCGTAAGGTACAACAGGTACGCCATATAAATTTCCATTTTTATTCTGAAAACCGGGGATACAATCGACCGCACCCACCCAATATTATAGAGTACGAAAATTTCATTACATTTCTATTTTTGTTTTTTTTTTAGAATCACGGCAATGGGTATAAAAAATTCAGTCACGACCTAACATGATTTTCTTCTTTGTTTATTTGCTTTTGCGATTTGAAAGACTGGGTATAGAACGGGAACTTCACTTACTTTGTAGTTATGAGTATTTTAGTAATAGAAATAGAATAAATATAATCGCTTTATAGGTAAATGCCTCCATAGAATGGATTAGTCAGTGCTGATCTGTCCGGCATTAATTGTCGTGAAATGTGACATAGAATGGAATGAAGTATTCACTTGATTGGCGTCAATAATCAGAGCAAAAGACGGATTGGTTTATATCTCGTAAATTATTTACGCCATATATCGTAATGTAATTTTACGGCAATCTATGCCCATTCCTTTGCTTTGCAAACATTTAGTAATGTTAGCGTATCCTGTTTGGGCGATAGGGATAAATGAATCGTAACGTGCACCTGCACACGAAAACACAATTTCCCAAATGCATGGCATGCACCCGAAATGAAGAACAACAACATATACACGTACAACCAACAACCAGTGGCTAATCAAGAACTAGATGTGGACCATTTGGGTCCTAGCTCTACCTTATAAACGTTTAATATATCCGTTATAGTCCCTGTGCGTAAACGTAGTCGGCAAATATACTGAAACCGGGAAAATTGCTTTAGTTCAGTGTCTCTTCCTTGGTGTGTTATGACGCGTTAGGTGACGGCATTAACGTGACGAGAACAGTAGAAAAAATTTTCAAATTATTTCTTCAATTGGACTTTTCAGAACATGATTGAGAGACTTGCTGAGAAGCATTTTTGAAATTGTTCACTAACATCAAGTGTGTTGCGGTGCACAGAGCAGCCAAAAATGCTCGAGATCGCACCAATTTTTACTATACTGACTGAACTCGGACCATGCATTTCTGTGTTCATCCTATGCAATAATTGCGTTGAGCGAAGTTGTATTGAGCATTTAACGAACGGTCGGCCGTTACTTGTTTATTTATAATGCGTACAGTTTCAGCAAGACAATCGATGTTTTGTACATACATATATATGTCTTTCCCGAAATCGCTTTGACGTTTTGTAGGCGAACTGTGCTCATGGTCCGGAAAAATATTTCTGACATCATATTTCGAGAATACCTTCAAGAGATCGTACGTTAGTGAGGAGAATGTGAGGAGATATTTATAGGTTTCGCGGTGGTTTCGGTTTCTTGTCTGCTGAGAGTAAATTACGTTAATTTTTTAATGCAATCTTTTAATAGTGGTTGGTGATCAGTAATCCCAACAAAGAAGCGATCGATTTGGAGGCTAGTACTAGCGGTAGGTTTAAGTTTTCCCCCGTTGTGAAACTATTCGACTCGGTAAACAGGGCGTAATAGGTCCATCGCTAATAAACTGATTTTCATCAACAATTTAATAACAAGATGACATATCATTATGAACTTGGGCCGGGGTCCTAAGGCTGGAAAAAGTTCAAGTTGAAAATGAAGTGAAGTAAGCTGTCCGTCCGCCATTCAATAGAATTTTCGTATATTCGTGCGCGATTCATGCAAGACCTAAGGCCAACTATAACCTTCGTACTTACTTTCAAAACATAAACACTAAAGTAATGCGTTCGACTAACTGCTAATTAGCTTAATAATTACTAAAAACTCCTTATAAAAAATTGCATATATTTTTAATGCTTTTTTCTCACTTCCATCACATATTATATTGCATTTATTTTACAGAATATGGTAAATTATTTAAAATAGTGTTGTGTGTGTTGTTTAACAAAAAAAAGAAAAAAGAAAGAGCAAGCAAAAAAAAAAATAAATGCAAAAAGAACTATGAAAAATTAATAAGAATTAAAAAAAAAAAAAAAAAAAAAAAAAAAAACTAATATGTAAAACTACGTTAATCCGCCAAAAATAAACCACTTCTCTAATCAGTCTCATTATTGTTGTCATTGATTAGGTATAAGGAAATACTAATAGAACTGAATATCAAATTTGTTTGTGTTCCATGGATTATATTGTTATTGTTTAAAGTTGAGTTCAATAATAAGCAAGCAAAAGGGAAAAGTATATGCAAAGAAAATGTTGAAAGAGTTAAATTTTTTCAAATTCATTATTCGGAATACATTTCTGCAAGAACAAAAACAACAACAGCAACAACGACAACGACATATTCATGTACTGATAACGTGGTGTAGTCCGTATCGTTTCAATCGTCGCCAATATGTGACAGCGAAATCCTGCAGCATTACGTTGCAGGATAACGGCAATAAGAGTGACAAGAACAAGAGCGATAATAATGATAATGATACTGATAGCAGAGGTGGTGTTAATGGTGGTGTTGGTTGTACAATAAAACATCGGCATCTGGAATTGGAAAAGGTTAGCACCGTAAATATTTTTAATATTTTTAATTATACGCATATTTAGAGTCATAATCTCTCCATTTGCATTTCTTTAACGCTTTCAGATCGATGAGGAAGTGTCGCGTTTATTGGCACTTAAAAATAAACTTGGCGAAGGACCCAGTCAAACGCAAAAATTCGTTTTGAAAACGCCGAAAGGCACGCGGGACTATGCACCAAAGCAAATGATGCTGCGTCAAAACGTGCTCGATAAGATTATAGCGGTTTTCAAAAAGCACGGGGGTGAAGCCATCGATACGCCGGTGTTCGAGTTAAAGGTATTTCGCACTGAGGAGAAGCGAAAAAACTGGGAAAATATTCATATTCATATTTTTGTAATTTGAATTTTAGGAAGTCTTGACAGGCAAATACGGCGAAGATTCGAAATTAATTTATGATTTAAAGGATCAAGGCGGTGAAATATTATCATTGCGTTATGACTTGACAGTACCGTTGGCTCGTTATTTAGCCATGAATAAGATCTCAAATATCAAACGCTATCACATTGCCAAAGTATATCGTCGAGATAATCCCGCAATGACGCGCGGCCGTTATCGGGAATTCTATCAATGCGTAAGCAATATAAGCGCATTTGCTAACTGCTCTTATTGTTATTTCCATTTTTCGTAGGATTTCGATATAGCCGGTTCGTACGATCCCATGCTAGCCGATTCTGAGTGCGTGAAAATTGTATCCGAAATTTTGGACACTCTGGCAATAGGTGACTATGTGATAAAACTCAATCATCGTCAATTGCTGGACGGCATGTTTGAAGCTTGCGGTGTACCAAACGATAAATTTCGTTCTATTTGCTCGGCCGTAGATAAATTGGACAAAGTAAGCATTTGTTTGTTTGTTTGTTTTTTTTTTTTTTTTTTTTTTTTTTTTGTTCATATTTTTATTAAGGGAAGCTCTTAATTGTAAATAATATGAGATCCCGAAATTAAAATTGCGAAAAGCTCACTTTTAAAATGAAGAATACGGAAGCGGAGTTAACAAAATAGGCAATCGCAAGGGACGCACATAGTGGGAATAAGTTCTAGGCATCTGAAACTCATCTCCATTAAATGCCTGAAACAATTTCACATAATTTTCATCGAAAAGATTCGAATTAAATTCACTCTGAGCATATATTTATATAGAAACGGTATCAAATAATGTGAAAAACAAGTAACAAGTGGCAGTAATCGAAAGATTTGTCCTTATCGAAAAAATTATTCAGTTTTTGTCAGTCGGTGTTTACTTTTCGAAGGAAATTTTCGCATTTAAAAGTTTCCATCTAACGATAGTAGAGGCATTTTAAAAACTTTGAATTTTTATGCAGTCGCCTTGGCCTGAGGTTCGAAAAGAGATGATTGAGGAGAAAGGCTTGTTACCCGATACTGCTGACAAAATCGGTGAATATGTGCGGCTAAGTGGTGATAGAGAATTGATTGAAAAACTTTTGGCGGACGAGCAACTGAAAAATATACCGTCTGCCGTCAAAGGCCTGAAGGACATGCATCTATTATTCAAATACTGCCACATTATGGGCCTTAGTGATAAAATCAATTTTGACTTGAGTTTGGCTCGTGGTCTCGATTATTACACTGGAGTGATTTACGAATGCGTGCTAAAAGCCGAACCGAAAATGTTAAACGGTTGTAGCGAAGAGCAAGGGACTGTTGGCTCTGTGGCAGGTGGTGGCCGTTATGATAATTTGGTCGGCATGTTTGATACCAAAGGTAAGCAAGTGCCTTGTGTAGGCGTGTCCATAGGCGTAGAACGTATCTTCTCGGTGCTGGAAGCCAAATATGCAGCAGACGGCATTAAGCAACGAACCAACGAAGTTGAAGTAATGGTGATGTCAGCACACAAAGGTTTACACGAGAAACGTTTAAGTATATTAAACGATTTGTGGAATCAAGGCATTAAGGTAAATCGTTATTACTGATAAAAGTATAAAGATCTTTTTTGCATTTTAACTACAATATATATTTTGTATATATACCTTTGTTCATAGGCCGAACACTTTTATAAACTAAATCCTAAGCTATTAAATCAGTTACAATACTGCGAGGAGAACCAAATACCATTAGCGGTAGTGCTTGGTGATTCCGAGTTGGAGAAGGGTAAAGTCAAACTACGTGAGATTAGCACGCGTAAAGAGGAAGACGTTCTCTTAGCAAATCTATCAGATGAAATAAAGAAACGTTTACACTGAATACCATTAAAATTCGAATAAAACTCGCACTTGCTTTACATAAATTATTAATTACTAAATATTTATTACAAATGGAAAAACAAAAAAGAGAGAGAGAAAAAAGTAAAAATAACGAAGATAAGCAGAATCTTGGCTTTTACGAAATCATACCAAAACCCATAAACATTCTCGTAAAATGTCATATAATTTTGTTGTCATCATCAATAAACTCAAACAATTTAATAGCAATTTTGATGCAAAAATATGAACGTGTGTTTCATTCATGTAAAAATCTAAATAATATATTTGCCGTGTGTATTGTAAACAACATCCAATATCTTGCTAAATTTTATAGTGTCTATTTGCTTATTTCTCTATCGTTACAGTTGTATGGTACTATTATTTTTGGATTAATTGTTGTGAAGTGTAAACAATGCCCGAACTGATTATGTATACAAATGCAGTGAGTAATAGTCGACTCTTGGCTCCTATTAAAACGCCGAAGAGTCGTGCCAAACCTTTAACCCGCCGGAGGAGAATTAAAAAGTCTTCTACGAACTCGTCGGCCTCCTCTAGTGCCGATACTTCGATATACGAATTACAATCATGTAATACTAGTAACAACGAGAACACAACAATTAACGAACATCGATCTACCTACGATGTATTAAAATATTTTAGTTTAGGAATTGAAGATCTAGCAAATATATCGAAGGTAAGAGGAGAAAGAGATTTGTTTTTTTTTTTTTTTTTTTTTTTTTTTTTTTTAAATACAATTTTTGTTTTTAATTGAATTGTTTTTTTATCGGATAATCGAATCAATAGTAATTATCATTATTATTATTATACATATCTAAGCAGCAGCAACAGCAACAAATTATTAGGGTTATTAGTGTTGAATCTCTTATATACTGTATTGTGTTTTTAAACATTCTTCACTACTATGCTCTGAAGTTGCTGTGATTGGTATGAACATATTAATCTTCCATATGTCGACATAAGAAATCAGCGGTCTGCTCTTCATTCCTCTCGCACGCTATATAGGCTTGCAAAACTATCTGTCGCGGGAAACCCAAAGCTACCAAGCGTTCAATAGCATTGCTTTCTTCTTCAGTTAGGGAGATTTCTTGTGCTTCATGACCTTCAGACGGTACTTCTTCGCTACCCTCATCTTCCGGCTCGTTAAGCATGGCGACAAAGTCATCTTGATGCTCGCGTATAATGCTTAACAACACTGGATTTGTTTCTCCAATGCGTGCCAAGACACTACTCAATAATTCGGGGCGCTGACGTATAACGCGACGCATTTGTATAAAACGTGGGTCTTCACGTAAAAAATTAAGAGGGCTACCAGCGCCGCCACCGCCACCACCACCACCACCGCCGCTACCAATGCCAGCTACAGTTACGCCGCTAACTGGATTGACATCCGGCTGAATTGTTGGAAGTGGTGGCAATGCTTCAGGAAAATCGGGAATACCTTCAATCAAGTATTCGATAGCGCGATCTGGATTATTGAAACTGGCCAACAAAGCGCGGCGCACATCTGCCTCAGCATAACCCATACTCATGATTTCTTGAACTAGACTTTCGCTAGCGGCTGCTGTGGGTGAGAAATCCATTGCTTCAAGAATATTACGATGTTGAGGATTTTGTTGCAGTTCTTGATCTAATGCCAGAGGTTGTGTTTCGGTTGCGGCCGGTGTGGCTGCAGGCGGTGCAGCTGCCTGGGCAGCCGGGGGTGGCGTTTTGGCCTTTTCCTGACGTTTCGGCTCTTCAGTCTTCTTTATGGTTTCAGCTGCCGCAGAGGGGCTGGCACGTGTTTGTTCGCTTGGTTTTGCAGTTTTAATTGCCGCTACTTCTTCTTTTGCTGCTGCCGATGGCGGTGCCTTTTTGGCCATCACCACCAAAAATTTTCGCTCATCAATGCTATATGTTTTTAATGCGTTGTCATTGTCCAATACGCGTCCGGCATAGATAAGTTGTTGCAATTCTGGCTGAACACCTACTTCCGGTAATTTATGCAAATGGGATTTCAAATCCCATACTGTACGTGTGTCATCAAATTCAACATAGAATGTTTTTTGATCCAACGTTTTTATGGTTAACTTCATCTTGACCATCTATTAATATTGTTCGCTTACGTTATTGATCTTTTTTTCCTTTTGCGATTAAATTGTTCCAAGTAAAACCAACACGCTTTTTGCTGCACCGTTAAAGGCAAACTCTTTGAATTATTTATCTGAAATTTTCAAAGAACGACTCTTTAAAAAAGTATTGACGTAAATTTAAAAATTTCACAAATTATTACAAATTTTTTGCAGGATTTTTCTGATACTTTTCACAAAAACGAGTGCAACGCAAAGAGGACGATGTGTCAGCATTTGTATTAAGACATATGTTTTTGACAGCTCCTCTATGTGTTCGTTTTTACGTTGTTTGCATGACATTTCACTAAAATGGCCACAATTATCGAATATTATATGCCATCCGTGTACACGATTACCGAGTGTGAAGCATGCGGTAATTGATATTCATTATGCATTACACAGCCACAAAACAATTTCACTTTTAACAGTTATTTAAACATTGTATTTTTAATTTTGTAGTGTATGAAAATATGGAAAATTAATGTAAATTTCTTATAAATAGTAAAATTACGCCACCTGTTGTCATATTATTGCTATAACGATGACTTTTTCAAAGCAATTAACTCATGATCTAGAGCTTTATGCTTACTTATAACTGGAAATTTAAGCCGACGTGTATATATAAAATGGAAAATAATTTTGTGTGCGTAAGCAATGCTGGGTTACACGTTACAATTACAATTGTTTTAACGTAGCTACTGCGCTCACTATATTGCTTACATTTATATTATTTTACTTTGTATTTAATAACACTTTTTTTGTTATTATAAAGCAGAGAAATACCTGTAATCATCGGGTTTTGCTTTTAATGTTAATTAATGCTTTTGTATTAGTTTGTAAGTTCTATTCTTACTTTACTGTTTGCCCCAATAACCACAAGGTAAATTAGAAAATGACTCTTTCGAAATTTACGTGGTGCTGCCATCTGTAGTTAAGTAGTATTTTGTAATTAGTATGGATTTTAACACAAATTCAGTTAGAGTTCACTGCCAACAGTATGGAATGAAATTTGCTTAAAAATGTGTTACCAACTATGGTATTTTAATGCGTTTGTTAATATTTTAAGCAATGGACAATTTTGCCTTTTTTTTTTTTTTAAAAGCATATGCAGTTGATGCGTGTTAATTGGAAGAAAAGGCGGCTTTACTAATTTCAACATACGGATATCAGAACGTTTGTAAGTTCTTTCTTATCTAGCTATGAATTTTATTTACAAAAAACAATAATAAAATTAAAACAAACGCTGACTGTTTGAAGATTCCATTCAAGTCGAGTGTATAAACAACTTATTTTAAATTATTAGACGTTGTATATATATAAATAAATATTTCTCTGTGTGTCATATTGCTTGCTTTATGGTATGAGCTAATGAGTAATAATTAAAAATTTGATGTAAATAATGGAAAAATATACAAAGTTCGAGGGATTTGTCGCAAGCTTAATTCCCTGCATATCTTCCTATACTTAAATGGTCAACGCAAGTTTCTCTCACTCAATTCAGGTAACGTCTGGGGCCCCCAAGCTAGCCAACTTCGCCCCTTTTTATTCGGATTGTGTATTAATGATCTTCTAAGGGCTATTTTAAAGTCGAAAATATTCGTATACGCAGATAACGTTAAACATTCTTTACCGTTTCAGGCTCGACAGTTACCCTTTAGTCTAATTTAAATAAGGGAAATAAGTACTAAAATAGGAATAGGCCTTTAATTTTGTTGTCTTTAAACTTAAGTAAGTGTACGCTGTTAACCCTCTCAAGATGTGTCCATGTATATTGAGAAATTTACAGGTGAAGCGATTTCATTTGATCTTCATATTTAGACAAGGAATTTGATGATCCATACATTTTCAATAGACGGGCGCGTCTTACTCTCGAATATGGCTGCGTCGGATCGTCCCCTTATTGTAGAGTACACTTTGAGTATACCAAATCTATATATAAGTAATTCTTATTGTTTGCACTTAGGGGGTTCGGTTGGCAAATCTCTCTCCCTCTGTCTCTCCCTCCTTATGTCAATCTCTTAATATTGATCGATCTATCAGTTGTATGATTATTGATTGATGATAAAATTCTCTTTCAAATAAATAAATACATTTCTTTTTCGTTCCGGCTTTCTTAAGTTGCCAAGTTGCTTAGTTACGTAGTACAAATTAGTTGTCTTGTACATATCGTATCATACTTAAATAAGTTAAGCCTTTCAATGTAACTTAAAAAGGAAGCGGGTTAAGCGAACCTTTGTCATTGTTTGTTATTGTAGCAGTTCACAA